ATAAGTAAAAACATTAAAGTGACAGGATACAAATAAATACACAAAAATATGTTGCATATTGATATACAAACAATAGAGGGAAAAAATTAAGAAACTAATCCAGTCACAATTATATAAAAAATAATAAAATACCTGGGACTACCTATCACAAAGGAGATGAAACATTTATATACTGAACACTATAAGACATTGTTAAAAGTTGTCAAAGATACAGAGAAATGAAGATATTTTTGTTCATGGGTTGGAAGAATAAACACTTTTAAAATGGACATCTTATCTAATTATGAATTCAATGAAGTCTCTATCAAATGCCAATGATTTTTTTCAAGGAAATAACTGTAAAATCTATAAGGACCACACAATACCCTGTATAGCCAAATCAGTATTGAGATAAAAGTAGTATAGGGTGATATCTTGCTCCTTATTTCAAATTATAAAAAACAGAGATAACAATAAAAATAGGACAGCATAATAGAATAGAGGCTCTTCATGCTGCATTCCAGCCAGATGAGAGAGATTTCTATGTTGCACAGGTCTGTAACCCTTGCCTGGTGGTACATCACTGCCAGTACGCTCTCCACACCACACAGGGGCTCAGCAAGGAAGCAGGCCCAGGAATATATAATATCCCCAAAACAGTGAAAAGAACTTGCCTTCAAGAGAGGGAAGAGGAGGCAGAGTTAATTTCTATCTGGAGCAATTCAAACACCCCACCAAAATTAGGAACAAGCCACTGAACTCCTATTTCACCCTCACTAGATACCAAGCTAAAGAAAGCAGAGAAACCAAACTAAACCCAAAGTACCCCAACCAGAAAAAAACAAAAACAAAAACAAACAAGAAAAAACAAGGCAACACACATACCTAGGGAACAAAGAACATCTAAACAAAATATGGGAAAGCTGAAGGAAAAGGATAGAATTCCAAAAAGCTACATAAAGAACACAAAATTAGAGGACTTAAAACATATTTTAGAAGACAACTTTTTAAAAAATAATAGTTTATTTTTACATCATTTTGTGCATTTTTTTTCATCTCAGTTGTAATCTCCATGGGCTTCCCATCACCAAATCACCCATGTGTCATTACTATAGTCCAGTGCATTTCCCTCCCTCCACTGTTTTTGATCTCATTCCTCACTCCACCCCCATAAAATGTCTCTGGTATATAGCTGTTCATTATTATTATTATTTCTTGCCTGGTCCATTATACTGCTGTTATGAGTGAAACCATCTGGTATTTTTCCTTTTCTTTCTGGCTTATTTCACTAAGAATGATCTTTTCCAGCTCCATCCATGTTGCTGCAAAAGGCATGTGTTTATTTTTTTTTTGGCTGCTGAGTAATATTCCATTGTGTAAATGTACCACATCTTTTAATCCAGTCATCTACTTTTGGGCATTTGGGCTGTTTCCATGTAGAAGTCAACTTTTTGAAAACTAAATCAGCTAATGGAAAGGCAAGTTAGCACAGAAAGGCAGGTGCAGGGTCTTAGAAAAGAGACCCAGTAACAAAAAGAATTCCTCACGAATGAGACTGAAGATACTAAAAGAACACAAAGAGAAATCCTGATTGAAATGAGGATAAATATGGAAATCATTAAGAGTCAAGCTGGCAGAGAAAGAATTTTGGAAACTAAGTACACCAATATACAAATGACCCAAGAGGTAGAAGAAAAAAATTTTAGGAAAATGGAAGAAACTGGATTGAGAAATATCAGACTCAATTACAAGAGGAAACATAAGTATAATGGGAATTCCAGGATGTGAGGAGAGAAGGGAACAGAGATCTTATTCAAAGAAATAGCAGCAGAGAACTTCCCAAATGGAAGGAAAGAAATAATCATGGATATCTTGGAAGCAGAAAGAACACCAAATTGCTAAGTGTAAAGCAACCTTCATCAAGACTCAATATTGTTAAATTATCAAAAGTTGATAAAAATTGTTAAATATTCCTAGAAAAAAAAGGAATCTAGCATACAAACACACTTTGATGAGATATTCAACAGATTCTCAAGGTCATGATATAAAACAGACATTTACAATCTAAAAGACAAAAAATGGTAGCTAAGAATACCTTATGATTTTTATCAAAGTTATCATTCAAATATGAGGAATAAATGGACATTTCCACTCAAAAGGTAATTGCATTTTCACCACTAGACCTGCTTGGTAAAAATTGTTGAAAGGGGTTCCTCTATAAGAAGAGAAAAGAAAAGAAAAAACAAACAAAAAAAAAAAAAACAAAAGAAAAGAAAACACAAAGCATTGAACAAAATGATAAATAGTAATACAGAATCAGAAGTATAAAGTATAAACAAGAATAATACAAAATAAAAACAAATTACTAAAGGAGAGGGACAATGACAATCTATATAGTTAAGTGATGATGAGTCTATAACATCACATGGATTCAAAGATAAAGGACTATTATATATAGAAAGTTAGATATAACTTTCAAAAACCTGGACTAGAGACACACAGAAAAAGAAATAAAGAAACTAAGAGAAGCACCACGGAAAGCCATCCAAATGAAAAAGCAGATAGGAACAAATGGAAAAATGAAACTACAGAAATTTAAAACAGCCAAAACACAAATGATACAATGATAGCAAATAAATCTCATAAATCATTATGTGGTCCAAACTCACAAATTAAAAGGCACAGAATGACAAATAGGGTTAAAAAATGTGACCTATCTATATTGTGCATACAAGAGATTCACCTAAACTTAAAAATAAACACAATCTTAAAGTGAAAGGCTGGAGAAAGTTACTTCAAGTCAATAATACCCAGGCGGGGAGGGGGTAGGTGGGGGGAAGCAGGAAATACCATCTTCTGATAGAATAGATTTTTAAATTTATTTTTATTTTATAACAGTTTATTTTTACATCATTTTGTATATATATTTTTTCCATCTCAATTGTAATCCCTGCGGGTTTCCCATCACCAAGTCACCCGTGTGCCATCACCATAATCCCGTGCACTTCCCTCCCCATCCCCCTGTTTTTGATCCCATTCCCCACTCC